TGAACAGAGTGGGGTTTTGTAGTTTCTTGACCTGGCTTTGCTTCAGACAGCACAGCCTGACTGATAGTGCCCTAAATTAATGCAGTGAAGGTTGCAAACTTGAAATCCAGGGTATGCGCTGTTGCTATTATTAAATCCATATGGCTTCATGGCAGTGTCCATGGGCTAATATAAGACTTGGGAGTGCATATTGGGGTCCAAGGAGTAGGAGCTGGGGGTGGGAGCAGGATTGGTGTATTAACTTCTGATTAAATACTGGTAAAACCAGTCACGGAACACTGCAGTTCTTGGGTGGAATTTGGCTGCAGATTCAGTCATCAAAATTCAGGTATCTCCTTGTCGGGCTTTAGGTCCTTACTTTGCTGTAGTCAGAGTACATCTCTTCAATACAATTAGTGGACTCTTGACAGCCATAGGGTCACCAGGTATCCACTTAAAGTTTAGATGAATCACTTTCTAAGCTAAACTAGGACAGGAGTTTCACTGTGTAAGTCACATGTAGACTCCCATATTCAGGTTTCTGAGTCTCAAATCCCATCCCTTGGCCTCCACTTGTTCATTAGAGATCCTAACAGGTCACTGGCTGCAAGTCCAGAGTGGTGTGGTTCCTATGGTAGTAGGTCCTGTATCGTAGCTGTCAAACCCATGTGGATGACAGAGCAGACCAAGAACTTACAGACACATGACTGTGTTGTACCCTTTGTGTGTATATTTTATAAGAGATGCTGAAATACACTGTAAGGTCCATTTAAAAAACAGACAGAAAAGTCCCCCACAAAACTCCTTTTTTAGTTATGGAAGATGGCAGACCTCAAGGATCTGATTCCATGGAGCTCATTAGAGAGAAGACAGCTGTCTGCTGGTTACTTTCATGAGGACATAAAGGACTCTTAAGTACCCATTGGAGCAAAGTGTCAGCAGATCTGAGGGTTTCAGAATGGGGTTGTACATGAAGGCCAGGTGCCCTTTTCAAAGACTTACTTAAGCCAAATTTGAAATACTGAGCTATGGTTATAACTGATATGGAGGGGCAGTGATCTGTGGGATGAAAGGTTAGGCATTCTTATGAGACATCTTGAACTCTAGGTCTTGCTTTTGCATTTTTCTGCTGTCAACTTTATTAAATGACTTCAAATGTCTTACAATTTGTCATAAGATTTTTAACATATGAATGTTACAGTTTCTGCAAACAAAGGGAAGGGCTTATAGCTTTTGATATATGTAAGCTTGTGATAAATGTGTAGCTTGCAGCTTTTAATTTCCATGGTTTTCCAGGTTTTTGGGTTTTTTTGGTTTGTTTTTTTTTCTTGCATTAAATGGTTTTCAGTTGTGTGTTTGTGGTACAGGAATACCATATTCTCCTAGATCAAGACCTGTTTGAGGTAGAAACTCCAGGATGTCACTCAGCGCTTATAAGAATGAGGAATATGTAGGTCATCAGAAGATAAAGGGAAAACCCACGTTTCACAACCTGATGTGCTGATCAAAGCATTCACTTCCCCAGAGGTTATGGGAGGGTATGCTTGCTCCAGTAAGACAGGAGATTTCCTGAGGGAAATCAAGAACAGAGTGACTGACCAAAGCATGAGGGAAATCTCTTGGCATTTTTTCCAGCAAGAGGAAGACTTCAACAGAAACAGCTCATGTGGGTTTTTGTACTGTAGGGTATGTGCAGTCTGTGAGTGGGAGAGGATAGTTTCTCCAGGGAAACAAAAGCAAATTTGAAGGTGGACAGTCTAGCTCCATTGGGAAGCAAATTAGGTTTCTCCATCCTGGTCTTTTCAGTCTCGGTAATGTGTGCATCTGTTGTCTTTTGTGTAAGGTGTCCTTGGTTCCAATACTGTTCAGATAGCTATCAAATGTAATTAATTGGCTCCCTTTTAAAAAAGCTTTGGCTGTTAGTTTCTGCAGAGTCATTACAGAAGACTTGTAAAGGTGGAAATTAAGAAATACAGTTAAAGGTGCTAGTTCTGTAGGCCACATGTCTTTTACATAGAGAATTTTTGCCTGCTTAGCCTTTGATGCAATTTTTAATTGTAAGCTGATTCTGCTAGACAAGGTCTAGATGCCCAGTCCTGAGCTTTTCTTGCTGTGCAAACTGAATACCTAGCTCACTGCTTGTCTCCAGAGAGAAGAGCAGTCAGACTACTCCCATTATCATTATCATCAGCCTGCTGATTACCTCAGGTCCCCCAGCTTGCACACAGGGAACCTGCTCACAGCTGGGGCAGTCTCCAGCTGAAGAGGTTAGCTGTCTCTTGTGAAACTCGGGAGCTAGAACGTTTACCTTACCTCATACCATAACTACAAGATTACAGTCTGCAAATGGTTGTGTCTGGCTTTCAGACTACTTCATTAAGAGTTAATTTGTATGCACGTTTGGTTTTCAAAAAAAAAAAACAACACACATGACTGATCCACCCTATCATAAATTTTTATAATGATAAGGTGGTGCGGGCTCATCTAAAATTCCTTCCAAAGGCGGTGTCAGATTTTTACTTTAGTCATCCTAACCATCTTTTCCTTCCCTGTATTTTTGCCATAGCAAGGCTTTGTTTACATGAGCTGGATCCTAATAGTTCTACTCCCGCTTCCACCCCCACCAGCTCTTTGCAACATATTATAGATTATCATTACTAAAAGTTCAGATTGGCTTCTTTATTTTTTGTTAAGGAGCATTTATTCTCCTTGAATTCTTCTCCTTAAAGCACCTTCCTCAATGCTTCACTTCAGGTTTGCGGCTGATGGTATGAGGAGTCAGAAGTAATTCAGTGTGACTGTCTAGGATGTAACGGAGGGAGAAGGGGAAGGTAGCGGGTGTATAAATCTGACTGGGGAGTAAGTTGTCAGAAGGAAGGAACGGACTTCCGTCTCCGTTTGCTGATGAGGATGGAAGTGAGGGAGTCTTTAGAAATTAGCTAGTGTGTGGATGGTTGGCAGGCTTGGCGGAAACAACAGCTAGGGAAAATAGTGATCTAGACAGGAGAAGATTTGGAGGCGGTCAGGAATCGTTATTTCCTTTCTCCTCATCCTGCAGTAAAAATTCAATGTTTACGAGGTTTTAAGGAGCACAGAAGAAATAGAAGGTAGAAAAGGGCTGACAGCAGTGCTGGTGAGGAGTCAAGGTGCTTTGTTTTGCTTTGTGCTGACATAAGCATGTGCATAATTGATGCAAGTGAAATACCGTGTACTCTTGCTGCTACCTTAACTCCTCATTATGAAATCCAGGTAAAATGTTCACAATCTACTGCATGTATCTAGAAGGTCAGACAGCATGATGTCATCAGCGCCTTAACCCACAGATGAGCAGTGTAGTGGTAATGCAGCTTCCTTGAGAGCTCCTACCCTGTACCTACTCTATAGCTACTTTCCATAACAGATTTATGAGACCCTATAATGTGTGTTCAGGATCTATGAAATGCAGGGCTTTACACTGATAAATCCTCTATCATGAGCCAAGATCTCGCCTAGAGCCAAAGACTAAATTGTGCCAACTCATGCAGTCGTAATGGGTAAAGTGTGTGGGTTTGCTGTTTTGTCAGGTGAAACTAGGGTAAAGCCAAAGAAGCCTCCAGAAGACTAAAAGAAACAGATGTAGAGAAAACAGTTGTGCTCTGGTTTGGCTTTAGAACATGGGGGGGGGGGGCGGGAAGCATAACAGGAAATGCAGTGTTTCACAGGCACTACCATTGAAAGTGTTTGGAAGTCCAGGTAGCTCTCCGCTATCTGACCTTAGCTGATACATCGCTTAACTTCTCCAACTTGATGCACAGAGAAAGGGATGGAAGCCTTTTTGCTGTAATACATGCATTCTTGGGACCCAGTGGCCACTAGTGAATTTTTGGGATCCAGAAATCAGGCGACCACAAAATTCAGCTGGAATCTACTTGTACATCATAAGCAATGATGAAGAAGGTGGCTCCTTTACAGTCCATAAAATGCAGATCCTTTAGAAAATACTGACATTTCTAAGGAATTCGTTAATGAAAATCATACAGAAACTTAGTGTTGAGCTAAAATTTCAGTTGGCTAGGTTTTGTATGGGGCGGGCTTTTCTGTGTTATGGTGGGGTTTTCCCCTCCCCTCCTCTTCTAAGGAGCAAAAGGCCTCACCCTGATTTCAGCGTGCCACACTTACATACATACACAGCTGGTGTTCTGAAACAAATCTGTGTGCAGATAATGCTTTTTATAGTGTATTCAATCTGGAAGTTGGATATGAAGGTTGTCAAGTGGTCTGCAGGGAATGGGAGAGCCCAGGAGGCTGGGCCAGGATCCACTGTCCTAAGCCACAAAGCTTCATTTTGCATTATGTATAGTTTTTTAAGAGTAAATTCAGGTTTACCCCATCCTGAATCTCATATGCTAAAGTAAACCTGGCAAAACTAGCTTCTTGTGATGTTTCTTGCAGTGTTTAACATTTTATTTGTAACATTTCCCACTGCAGGCCTTTGGGATGAAAAAGCTCACTTTGTCCGATACTGGGTTTTCTTTCTAAATGGGACATAGTTTTTTATACGGAAGTTACAAGTCTGTGTGGAAAGCTGTTCCAACTGTCAAGTCTTTCAACTGAAACTCAGTCTTTGAACAGTTTCTTTCTGCTTGGAATGAAAAGCATATCCCTGATTCACCAGGTAGCTTGGGTCCATTAAAGATTAGTTGCCCATTAATCATCTATTACTTCGTTAGAGCAGTCACAGAATATTCCACAGAGACACATGCTAATGTTCAATCCACTGGTTTTGTAAGGACGTTTCTTAAAGAACAAGTAATGTAGAAGAAAACCATAAACTGCACAATTAGTCAGGTTTGGTATCACTGTAAATTCTTCAAGTTGCTTAAAAATAGATGTCGCTTATGTTATACAATGTATCAGCTCTTAAGTTTGGTCGTTATGTTTAAATATTTAAGTGTTTCAGTAGTGTTAAATAGTTTTATACCTGCTCTAAATTAAGTTCTTCTGGCAAAGAGTTTTTTTATTTTGTTTCTATTGTGCTCCAGACTCTCCTACAGATTTTTGGTGTGGTGGCTGTGGCTGTGGCAGTGATTCCTTGGATACTCATCCCCTTAATTCCACTATTTATTCTTTTCATTTTTCTTCGACGATATTTCTTAGACACTTCAAGAGATATTAAACGTCTAGAATCCACAAGTATGTAGTTTGGCGGGACATAATGTTAGCTCAAAGCCTGCTTATTATTATGTGAAATGCTAGTATTTTATAGACAATCCATCAAGGATTTTTTTCTTTTCTATGCAAATAACTTCCTTATTGCTTTGATTCAACTAGTGAATTACATGCTTAGCTCCTGTTTTGCATAATGATAAACTTTGGGTATGTCAGTTTTACTACCTGTAAGTAAAGCTACTTCAGAACATGCTAAGTTGCTGGTCATTCGGACCTTGCATGCACATACTAACGGTGTTTCTGACCTAATGTGGCTCTTGTGCTTGACTGTAGCTTCACTATGATATGAAATATTAAGCATTATGAATAACAAACATGGGTGCCTCATATCATTAATAAAGCTCAAAGAGTTTCTTCAGTGACAGCTATTGTTAAAGACGTATGACATTTTTGTATAAATTAATGTGCCTGTCTGTCTGACTGGTTCTAATTGAGTAAGAGGACTATGGTTAAAAGCACTGCATATTTATTCTAAGAGGATGCAGTACAGTAACTTGTGTGGTTAAATATAAAGTAGTAGGATTAACGATTAGTGTGCTACAAAAAGAATTAAATGTTGTCCTTCAGCTATTGCTAAGTTATTCTCATTTCCCTTTGTAGCTAGAAGTCCAGTGTTCTCCCACTTGTCGTCATCCCTCCAGGGACTTTGGACTATTCGGGCTTTGAAAGCAGAGGAAAGATTTCAAAAATTATTTGATGCACACCAAGACCTCCACTCAGGTTTGTGATGAATTGACGTGAAAAATCAAATCTTTGCTCTGTAGGAGGGAAATATCTTATGCCCTCAGCGACATGTATGTAATGTGCATTAAACTCAGTAGGAGCTGTGCATTCGTCTCTTTAGGGTAAAATTTCTCTGTTAGAACAAAAACGTTCCTATCTGTCTAGATTTTGAGAGTTTACTTTGGGCTGTAATACGATTTGAGATAGCCACGCACATGTTTTAACAATGTCTAAGATAAACAATTTAAAGTATGCCTGATAAGAATATTTAAAGAATAATTTTTGACATTTTCTTGGATTCTGTCTTTAAAAAGAGAGGGGGTAGGGTGAAGGAACAAGCTCTATTGTGAAGCATTTAAGATTAAGTAGAGTGCTAGGAGTAGGCAGAGATGATGATTATAAATCATCTTGGAAAAGTTTCATAAATCTCACTTCTTTTTTATTTGAGGAGCTTTCAGAGCTCAAATCTAATATATGGCATTAACATGACTAGAAGGTGTAAAACATTAGTATTCTGCAAGTATAAGTTATACAGTTCAGGTTTGCATTGTGATTCTTTGCCTTCTGTCAATGAGATGTTCTCTCTTACAGTGTTTTTCAAGATGCGGTAGAATTAAAGTTTGCAATAGTGTGTTTGTTAACTAAGATCTTGTATTTCCTTTGTCATAAGGCATACAAGTATGTTCTGTGGCTTTTTTAAAATTTACAGACTTCTAAGGTTTCAGACCAGACCAGTTGATCTTTTCTGAAGCTCAGCTTACCACAGGCTGTAGAATTGCACACACTGAGCTCTGTGTAGAGCCCAGTAAGTTGTGACTGGGGAAGCATATCTTCCAGGGAGGCACCCCTAGCTTTGCATTCCCCTTTTCTTATTATCTTCAAGTCACTAGTTATCTGACCAAATCAATGTTACAGCAGCTGATAGCAAGGGAACACAAAGTTGTTTCTTAAGCTTTTTAGTAAAAGACATCTTTAGTCAATAAACTGTGTATAAAAGCTTCACCATAAAAAGAGGACTGTAACCTTTAGAAGAAATATTTTCTTGTATTTTAAGGTCAGATCTAAGGATCACAAACACACTATTTTCCAGCCCATTTTATGCATCTCTCTAATAAAACTGCCAGTATTTCCCCTCCTGGGCAGTTCAGGAACCTGCTTTTGAGATCAAGCTTCAGTGTTTACAGTTGCATTCTTTTGTCTATCTGCTTGCTTCATCTTGGTGTCTTTTCCACCAGAGTATTTGAGATATAATAGCTTGTTTAGCATGTATGTAATTTTTGGTCCTTTGAAGGAATATTGAGCCAGCAGTGTGCCTGGGTAGAAAAGGCAGCCAGCAACATCTGTGCTGAATTAACAGGACCACGGCCAGTGGAAGGAGGAAAGTGATTATCCCCCTCAACACTTGTTAGCCCACATCTGGAATACTTCATCCAGTTTTGGACCCCCAGATGCAGGAAACACTCTAGAAGTGCTTTCAGTGTAGACCACTAAGATGGTCAGGGACTAACAAGAGACATCTCCCTATGAGGAGAGACTGAGGAAACTGGGTTTGTTTAACTTGCAGAAGAGAAGGCTTACGGAGGATTTAATAGCTGCCATCCAGTACCTGCAGGATGTTACCAAGAAGATAGGCTCTTCACAGTGGTGCATGGTGGGAGGAGCAACAAAATGGCGTATGACTGTCCGTAGACCATATAAAATGTCTTGTTTAATGAAACCAGCTCCTAAATGTGTGGTTGGGCATAAGCAGCCACAGTTGGTGTAGATTTGACTAAGAGGTTACCAGTTCTGGGCCTTACCCGTCTCTTGTCATCCTCTCTTTCCCTCAGCTGTCCTCCAGAACTTACATGGAGTTCTATTGGCTGATTTGATCAGTTCATTATCTGGTTATCCAAAATGATCTGTCTTAAAATCAGACTTACCTCCTCTGTTTATATGCAAAAGGAAGGTTACTTTACTTTGAATCTTTTCCAGCACTGGGCTGAGAAACATTGAAAGAGTTGAAATAGCACTGATCTTTAGCATGGAGTGTATGACAAGCAATTGTAGAATCATAGAGTGTCTTGGGTTTGAAGGGACCTTAAAGATCATCTAGCTCCAACCCCCCCCACCACAGGCAGGTACACCTTCCACTAGACCAGGGTGCTCAAAGCTACGTCCAGCCTGACCTTGAACACTGCCTGGGAGGGGGCAGCCACAGCTTCTCTGGAAGCCGGTGTCTCGCCACCCTCACAGTACAGAACTTCCAACCAGTATCTAATCTAAATTTATCCTCTTTTAACCCATTCCCCCTTGTCCTATTACTCCATGCCCTTGTATAAAGTCCCTCTCCAGATTTCTTGTAAGGCCCCTTTAAGTACTGGAAGGCTGCTGTAAGGTCTCCCCTAGCCTGTCTCCATAGCTCCAGCCCTCTGATCATCTTCATGGACCTCCTCTGGACTTCCTCCAGCAGGTCCATATCCTTCTTGTGGTGTTGGCCACAGAGCCTTACACAGCGCTGCAGGTGGGCTGGATGTAGCCTGGTCATTTTACCATTTGACTTTTTGCAAAGCAGCACCTCCAAGTCTTTCTGCTTAGGGCTTCTCTCATTCCATTCTCTGCCCAGCCTGTATTTGGGATTGCCCTGACCAGGGTGCAGGGCCTTGAGCTTGGCCTTGTTGAAACTCATGAGGTTCACACTGGCCCTTCTCTCAAGCATGTCAAGGTCCCTTCCCTCCAGTGTGCCGACCGCACTGCACAGCTTGGTTTTGTTGGCAAACTTGCTGAGGGTGGACTCAGTCCTACTATCCATGGCACCAACATGAGCAATGAAGAAAGGGTTGGAATGGCGGGTTGGAATGGTAACCTTCTGCTGTGACTAAGTAGCAGCTGGAACAGTTCGTCCAACTGCAGCCTAAGCAATAAATAATGCCGTATTTTGTTATGGCTACTTCTAGTTTTGGCCCTGAATCAAACATTTTGCCTTCTATATTGCAGTGTCTTTTCCTGCTATCTGCTGTATCTTGTACTGTAGCGTGTTTGTCTGAACTGGAATTTAGCACCAAATTTGGACACCTGGATTTGAGTGCCCAGTGGGGATGTCCACCTGTGAGCTTCACTGAGAATGAATACATGCATTTAGTCACTTGCATAGCTCTGTAGCTCCTCTGGCCAGATAGAGTAGCTCTTACGGGAGCTTAACCAGCTGCAGCTGCCTTCTAAACATTTGGCTCTGATGGTTGTGTTGTGATATGTTTTAGCTAAAAGCCTGTGGACTGTAGTCCAGCTACACCAACTGTAGTTGTACTTCTGCTTTTGTATACGGTTCCTGAATCCACTAGAGTTTAAAAAAAGGCTTACACTTCAAATAAACGGACCATACTTCAGGCTGTAACGTTTTTTTTCCGTATTACTGTATATTCTACTAGCTGTGGTTGCTATTGTGATTGCTAATAGTGTGAAAACTAGATGAGGCCATTTCAGGAAAACTGGACAATATTCTGATCACCATCAGGCCATGGTGATCATGCACTTGAAGATGGCAATGTTGGAGGGGTTTTAACAACTTATATTAACATTAATGATAATTATACAGCTCAGTTTTCTAATAATCCACTGGTTTTATGTCTTTGTAAAATACACTTTAGAGGCCTGGTTTCTATTTTTGACAACCTCGAGGTGGTTTGCTGTACGTCTGGATGCCATCTGTGCCATTTTTGTAATAGTGGTTGCCTTTGGTTCCCTGGTTCTCGCCAAAAGTAAGTACAGATGTTAGCAAAAGTTCACCCAGTAATTACCATGTATAGTAATGTCTAATTCTTTTTCATAATTTGCTGTTTCTAATTGTTTAAGGGCTGTAATTAAGTTAAATGTTTCTTTTTAGATCATGATCTCTTCCTCGGTCTAGGGCACTGAGGCTGTATCTGCTTCCCTGGAAATACTGGAGGCAGTTCAGACATATTCTGGGGTTAGGCATACATCTACCATCACCCCCAAATGTGCAAACTAGCAGATCTGTAGTCTTCACTTCTGAGACTCAGACCAGTAAGAACAAATAAATCTTTTTCCCCACCTTTGGTTTGTTGGTTGGTTGTTGTTGGTTGTTGGTTTTTTTTTTTTTGGGGGGGGGGGGGTGTGGCCTACAGGGCTTTGCTTTACATACTGGAACGCCCACGGAGCTGCTTCTTAACAACTTTCTTCCTTTCTACACATGGCACAGTAGGCCAAAAGGCAAGCTAAAATTCCTAGGGATACTCTTATGATAGCTTGGATCAGCACGATAGGCCAGTTCCAGAAAGAAAATCGCCTTGTAAAAAGACATTTTATGTTCACTGTCACTCATGAACTGTCATTAGTGTATGCATCATCCAGGATGTAATTGGGCTAGATGTACTAGAATGAGATAGTCATCTAAAATATGAAGGAAGAAGTAATTATCTTGGACATGAAAATTAGTGCTAATTTGCTGGTTTTGTTTCTTTTCTTTTTCCTTTGGATAAGTTCTGTAAATGCATGTGTTTTAAAATTTGAACACTCTGTGCTGCTCAACACTGAAAATCTTAAATTGGGTTTGATGTTATTAGAATGCAAAAAGACAAGTCAGAACAATGGTCCTGAATCTTTCTTTGCCTCTGAATAAGGAGTAGCTCTCTTAAAGTCAATAGAGCTGTGCCAGGTTAAAGTTCAAGTAAGCCAGAGGACAACCATGCTTAATATTGGGCCAGACATAACTCATTTATTTTGCAAGAGGAGACCCACTGAACACAATGAATGCTTATATAAACAAGGGAAGAAATATTCTGTCCTGTTATTTTATCTGGTCACTTACAAGAGTGCAAAGTGATGTAAAAACATTCATAACTTTGAAATCACTTTACACTAATTTTTTACTTACATTTAGGGACTGATCTAATTTTTTTAGAAAAAACATGAAAAGTTACTACTGTTCAGCCAGGTAGGGATGACTGTAACAAGCTGCGTAAGTATGATCTTGAGACTGAACCTCAGTTTTTAGATAAAATGACACGCCAAGGAAAACTGGGACAGTCTTTTCAAATACAATTTCCAAAATGTACCTAAAAAAATGCAGGAAGTAGCTGTTCTGCCTGGAGGTACTCATTGTGCAGATGGCAAGTATGGTGTAACCAAACAGAATCCTGGCTGTGATGCTTCCACCATATGAGCAACCTCATGAAAGTGAAGTTAACTAGGATTTTGTGTAATTACTGGTGTACTTATTTGATTCTCTTCTTTCCTTGTTGTGCAGCTTTGAACGCGGGACAGGTTGGTTTGGCGCTATCCTATGCAATCACCCTCATGGGAACATTCCAGTGGGGTGTTAGACAAAGTGCTGAAGTTGAAAACCTGGTAATGTTTATTTCTGCCTTTTCACCTCTTGGTTCCTTTTCATGGTTGTGACATGAGGCCTTAAGGATGGGATTCTTCTTAATTATCTTAGGACATTAATACCTTAGCAAACAATTGGAGCACCACTTACAGTCCATAAAGAAAAATAGCCTCTTCAGGGGTATAATTTGTCTGGGTGATTTTGAATGTCTGTTGAGATGAATTGTGCCTAGTGAGTTTCCCTCTCTATTCATAGTAAGGGAGGTTTTATAATCTCCCTTTACAACAGCAGATAGAGACTGTCTAGTTACAGTGTAGACAATTGTGTTACAACTTGCTAAAATTACAAGAAATAAATCCCTCTCTGTAAATAAGATTTTACATTTAATTTTTCTTTTAGATTTGGGGGTTTAAATGTAAATTAAAAATTTATTTATATCCGTCATGGCATTTTTAGGGTCCTGTTAATTCATTGTAAATTCACAACTCTTAATTTGTTGTGAGTTAATAAATACTTGAAAAGTGTTTATGTTCTGCTGAGAGGACTGTGTGTTTTCCAAACTTTAGCAAGTAAAATGCCTTCCACCAATTTACAATGTTTACTAGCATGTTTCAGTTGCCTGTTTACTTTCTTAAGTTAATATATAAAAAGACTAAAAAAAAAGAACATATTAAGCATAAACTGGAGGGGTTTTGTGTTGCTTTGACAACTCAAGGTTACTTGTAATTATTATTTGCTGACCATAGTCTAGGAAATACACGTAGTCCTTTTGTAGAAGTTACAAAGCCATGTTTAATAACAGATAAAATTCATAATAATGATAGATTAGTATTATTTTGTTGTCTAGCACATTGCTTCTTCAGAGCATTTGTCAGCCATGAATAAATTAGTGGTGACAGACTTTGTTGAGAAATGGGAAGAAAGCTTTTGTTTTTTTCTTACCAGTTGGAAACTTTTAGAAGTGTCAGTCTCTGGGACTCTCTTACGTAGTGAGTTACTCTCTTGGAGGCTGTGATTCAGAAATACTTTGAAGGAGAAAGGCTTGCCATTCACTAACCTTTGATGTGGAATGCTGATCATTATATGGAGCTGTGAAACTTCTTTCACAGGTGGGCATCCACCAAAACCCCCTTGTTATTAAAGTCTGAGTACATTTGGGGGAGGCAGGAACATTACCTCTCTGTTCTACTCTGTCATTCCTTCCTTACGTGCTTTTCCTTGGAGCTTAGTTTGTAGAATGGAAAGGGTAGATGGCAACAAGGTCAGAGAACTTGTTGCCTGGTGACCTGTGCCTATAAAGCCACTCCAGGCAAGATACGCCTACTGAGTATCTTTATGATGGTTCTTTTTTTTTCAGTATCCATCTGTGGGTGGATACTGTTAAAGACAATTAGTAGTATTGAGAAGATGTATGGATGAGTATGCACATCAGAGCCTAAACAGAACTTTTATTATTTGCCCAATGGGAAAAAAATGTCTAGATAGCTCAACTTCTGTTTCTCTTCCTTCCTGTAAGGTTAGAGGCATCAGCAAATCATAGGATCAGAATAGTTAGGGTTGGAAAGGACCTTATGATCATCTAGTTATTGTAGTTTCTTTTGTATCTGGCATAAAATACATGGGAGAAAACTTTTATTGCATGTAAGTCACTAACAATACGGTGACAGCTGTCTTGGATTGTGGAGTTGCTTGTGACAGATATTTAGAAGATTTTCCAGGGGTGAGCACAGTGGTAATGATGAGGACAAAAATGGGATGATGAAGCCAATAACTTGATTCTAGTAGCTATTGTGCATCTGCATGTAGCTTATACAGCAGTTTCATTTCTAGCCTTTGTTTTCCCAGCACACAATAAAATGCTGTCATCTTGGTCAAGACTGACAGACAACTCATAGCTTGGATTTCTTAATATTTGTGGGTGTACTTAGATTTGTAATTAATCCCACTGGTTAGCCATGAATGCTTATGTATGGATTTATGCATCATGATAATCTGGGTCTGTAGCAGGCCATGAGAGGCATTCTTTCCACTTTTTCAGTTGTATAAAGTAAGCATAGGATGCTACCAAATAATCTTATCTGTGATGAAAAAAAACAAACCTCTGTAATAATTTGCATTGAATCTTTCTAGTAAAAAATATACACAAACATGTGTATGTAATATTTGCAATATATGCAGTAAGCTGAAATTTATGTAATATCTGAATATATGAAATATATTGTGTAATTTATGAAATATATGTCTTCTTTCCTCCCCTTAGATGATATCAGCAGAAAGAGTAATGGAATACACAGAACTTGAAAAAGAAGCTCCTTGGGAAACCAACAAGCATCCACCACCTGAATGGCCAAACCAAGGAATGATAGCATTTGAAAATGTTAACTTCACTTACAGTCTGGATGGACCTTTGGTGTTAAGACATTTGTCTGTTTTAATTAAACCAAAAGAAAAGGTATGTATATGGCTGTCTGTAGGCATGCACAGAAATTAAGCAAAGATGATAAACTGACACAACGCTGTGTGATAAAAGTGCATTATAAAATACATGGATGTTAGGAAATTAGTAAGTGTACTTTTAAAGAATAAGCCTTAGTCATATTTAAAGACAAAAGTTGGAGCCTATTTATTTCCTGTAAGTGTAGCATGCATGCATCTGGGAGCATGACATTTCTGTGCGTCAAAAAAAAAAAAGGGTTATTTGATAATACCCTAAAAAAATTGGGTTTCACTGGGAAGTGGCAGACATTCAAAACACTGGCTAAGGCCAAAGTGTTTATTCAAATCCAAAGTAAATGGACCTGTGTTAGGAAATTGTGGATTCAGTAGAGGGAACATAAATGGAACAAAGGATGTCAGCAGACAAAGGTGAGCAGAGACAATTGAAAATAAGGAATGTACATGCTCTTGCACAGAGCCCCAGATGGAAGAGAGAAGAAAGAAATATAAATCAATTGTATAACTTTAAAATTGGGGATTTTATTTCAATTCCTTTCGGCTACCAATCCAATTAGCTGTTGCGATTAATTAGATTGGTAGCCAAAAGAAGCATAGAAATAAAACTCTTCTTCCTCTGCAAATTTGACTCTTCCTCCCCAATTTTGACGCTATCGCAATTGAAAGAGGGCTGCAGGGAAAGTCTCCCCCACAGATAAAATTAAATTAGAGACTTGCAGTGTTAATTCGTGTTTTGCTACATTTCAAACACACATGTACTTTTTTGATTAGGATTATCTTCCCTAGGAGGCTAGTTCAACTCTCTACAATCATTGCCCTGGCCTCATTTGTAACATGCTTTTCCATTCAGTCCCAAATCTGTTTCATTCCTCAAGTGGACCTTTTAATAACATGCATGTTACAGAAATTGAGCCCAACTTTGCTGCATGGAGATGATCTCATGGAATTAGGTGTGGGTGAGTTAAAAATGGTGCTTAAGAGCAGCAAAGGGGATGTTTATCTGCTCTCTACTTTTATTGCCTATGGGCCATCTCTAGCTGTTATATATCATTCCAGTGTAATGGCAGACAAGAACGTTTGCATTTTTTAGTGAGAGACAAAGTAAAAAATGAAAGCAAGAAATATTAGCAGTGTATGACTCAGTCCTAGGTGGGGGCAGAAGGAGGAGGGATGACGGGGGGGGGTATTTATTTTTGCTGAGTGGTTATGCTGTGGTTTTGTCACCCTGAACTGAATTGTCCCGTTTGAAACTATTGCTAAAAACTTCATGTTTGCGTTCTATGATGTTGTGCACAATACTGCAGTAAACTGCCACTGTGTAAAATAAATCTCCCAAGCGTCTGTGCTCCTTATATTGGTTTTAATTACTGCGAAGTGTCTCTTCAGAACCAGGTTTCCAGATGCTCTAGGGATTTTGCCCATAAGCCTTTCTTTGAGAGCTCTTAGGCATGCTTAGATGCCTGGCTCATACAGACTTCTGGTGGCTGCAGTACCACTAGCAGTTTGACTGAGTTAAAGCTTCTGTGGTGCTTGTAGTTGTGCCCATCGAGTGCCCACTTTGGGAAGCCATAGGTACAGTAAGAATGGAGGAGGTGATTACTAGGAGATCACTTGTGGGTTAGGGTCTCTTTGTCTCAGCATTCAGGATTTCCCTACTATCAAAGCAGGCTAGGAATGATCCTCTGTTTTAACCATCTTTGCTCATGTAGCATAGTCTGCCAGGGACAGACTGGGGAGTGCTCACATAAGGAGCACTGCCAGCAGCCGACTGTGATTAACCTCTTTAGCTACTATAGCTGCAGCAGGAAAAGGTTAGCCTCAGGTTTTAAACACCACTATCTTTGTTTCAGGGTGCTTATGAGTACTTATTGACTAAATCATTGTTAAATGCACCTTGTCCTGACAGATCCTAAATCTGAGGGTCTGGCTCCATGAAAAAGTTAGGAGGGTGAGAGTCCAGATTTACGGCATGGCAGCTGTTCGTGTAAATACTGTCACAGCATAGCACGAAAGGGAGGTTGCCTGAGGGATAACAAAGACATGGGCAGTTTCAGTGGAGTAGCTGACGTGCTGTAAATCTCACTCCCATTTGTTGTGCAGCTCTACTTTGAAGTACAAGTGACACTTGAGTAATGATAAGCCCAGCATAGCAGGTGTACTCCTGAGTATGCACGTGGCTCACAGCAGCCCACAAAATTGTGGCCATGTGATTCCTGTTAGGTAGCTGGGACTTCCATTTCCAGACCATCACTGTATTTGCACTGGCTGGGAACACAGACCTCTGAAGAATACGATGTATTGAAAAATAAGTAAATGTGTATAGTGAGAGCTGTTTCACATTCATGTCAATTTTCAGCAGCCTGTAGTCAGTTGGACCAAAAATACGTAGACTCCTCTAAATACTGAAGAGCATAGTCCTTTCATTTGATGCCAAACTGAAAGTGGGACTTTGACAATATGCAGAGCAGCTGCATTTTTATTTTAAGTATCAAATGTATTTTTTCTGTTTTTTTTTTTATATCCTTAATACAATACTTTATATTACTGACATTTATAGAGGAACAATTGAACTTTTGTTTTCACAACTGTGGGTGTCTGTGTTCTCCATTCAGCATTTTCTTTCTGAGCTGTAGTGTATCTGTTCAGAACTATTTTTCCTTTGTTTCTCTGATAGAATTTAGAATGCTAGACATTTTATCATTTATTGTAGCAGATTTGCTTAAATTAGGCTGTATCTTTAATAATAAGCACTGTATAAATGTTAATTAGTTTATATACAATAGTAAAATAATGAATTGTTGGATGAAATTATTGAATTGGAAAATGGAAGTGTAAAATGCCTTTTAGATTATGCAGTATAAGTTGCTCCTTGCAGTATACTTTTTATAGTGTTTTGTGAAGTTTTGATGAAATGTGGGCACTGCTGCTTTGTCTGAGCTTAGTGTCTCTGACTGTTAACAAGTTTCTCCTTGCTGTTCCATGTAGTTTCCTGTGCTTAATTTCATTGTAGCAGTTACACATCTGAGTCTCAGGCAGTGGGTAGTTGCCCTCTGGTGTCTGTACGTATACTCATGAAGACCTTCATGTTTCTTCCTCCCTTCTGCACCCCAGTCACTTCACCAGGCTATATTGTGCATGTTTAATCCTCATAAATCCTTCCTCATCAAATCAGTATCTCTAACCTGTATTAAGTTTATGTTGCACTTCTCTGAACTCTTTCCAGTGTGTTGATTTCTTTCTGGAAACGCCGCGATTAGAAGCGAGTGCAGGAAGTAACAAATCCTGCCAGATCAGATCTGTGTGGAGGGTTACGCCCATCACCTTCTCTGGTACAGCTGATTGCTGTACATTGTTTTCTCTAAGAATCCTTTACCTGAAGACAACATTTAAATAAAAAAGTTTGCTGTTCAAGTAGTATTTAATCACCACTAATTATGTGTCTCCTTTCAGTTATTAATGGGCCTTCTTTCTCCCAAGGGTTGGTTTCATATGAAATATTTGTAGGTCTCAACCCCTTGTTCATTAAAGTTAGCAATCCTGTATTTTGCATTGTCTCTACCTCTTTTTTTTTTGAAAATCATTATTTGTTCACATTGCATACAGCTTCTGATTTTAATTTGGGAACATGCAGAAGCCTGAATCACTGTGAATTTATTACTCACTTTTCCTTCAGTTTGAAAAGGAATTGCAGCTTGCTCAGATGGCCTTGTAGCTTCAATACTTGTGCCCTCTCTGTTGAAGCTGTCTGAAGCATGAATACAGTTTACAGTCATGCTGGTTTTGGCTTTAGAATTTGGCTGCTTTAAAGTACTTCAGCTTAATCATGCTAACCAAAATCAGTCTTAAGTTATTTAAATTGGAGTTACTGCTCGCTCATACATTGTTCCCAGAGTGCTTTATGGGAGTCAGTACTTTTTTGGGTTGAAAAGTAGATGTATGCCTGACTTTATTTGCCTAACATCACCCAGAAAACCAGGCTTAGTATAAAAACTAGCAGCCTTGAATAATATTACTCTATATACCAACCCACTTTATCTTTTTTCCACAATAAAACACCACACTTCAAGGGAAGACCTTTCACCTTTTACTATGATCCAGGAAACTGTTGGGTATCCAAATGACACTTGAATCCAGGCTGACACTTGAATCCAGGCTGATTTTTGTGGGGAGGATTTTTCCTCTTGAAAACAAATGTTAATTATAAAGAAGTTTTATTTGGTGCTTGTTCTACTATGAATCCTGTGATGTAAAACTGTTTCTTGCACCTTAATTTGTCCTGAAAAACTCATGGTTTAATTGTACAAGCTTGGCTTGCTCTGTAGGTTGGAATAGTGGGAAGAACTGGAGCTGGGAAAAGCTCCCTGATAGCAGCCCTCTTTCGCTTAGCGGAACCTGAAGGAAGGATTTGGATTGATAAGTACTTGACGTCAGAGCTAGGACTCCATGACTTGCGGAAGAAAATCTCAATTATACCTCAGGTAAGAGCGTGACGTGGTCTACCCTAAGCATTTTCACCTCAGTATTTAAAATGCTTTGCAGGGTTATGTTCCCCCTGCACCCCTCTATGCAGTAGACATAGAAACTTCAGTGAGGCATTATTCTTACTTGAGTAAGGTTTTGATTATTTTAAGATAAACAGAATCAGTATCAGGGACTGTGGCATTTTCTTCCTGATTTTGTCCTGTCTGTTCCTCTGGAATACGTGTGCATAGGTGTTAGCAGCATGCTGTCTTGTAGTCTGGGAAAAAGCAGAGAAAGTCTGACAAGAATATACCAATCTTCAGCAGTCCTCTGGGGTCACTTGATCCTTTGGCAGCAGTTCCTGCTTGATGTGTTGGTTGAAGCTTCCTTACTAAGGGACTTTGAGTGACATCTGGTTAAAATGGTAATGGACAGTGGTTCTAAGCCTCTCTTACCTGCTGCTTTTTTTAATTTTCCATTTCCAAGAGTAGGAGTCAGAGAACAGAAGCAGGTATGCTATTATCAAAACACAGGTACTCCCCCACCAATTGGATTGTTGCCTAATGCAGGATGTCTGCTGTTTCTGCAGGCTGAAGGCTTTGTTATTACACAGTGGAGGTACTCACTGGAACTAGGCGTCTTTTGTATATAAAGAGGACTTTATGTGGATTTAAGTTTTTTCTGTTGTTGTTGTTTGTGTGCAGTCTTCTTTTCTCCTGAAAGCAGGTTATCATCAGTTCATTCAAGGTCTATAGCTTTTTTAAAGCCTTGCCTGTAACTATTGCGAGTGGTTTCTACCTTCAGAAGAATTCAACCCAGTTGAATAAAATAGAGTACTGAGACAGGAAAACTGCTAGTCTAATATACTTTCTACATTTTGAGTGATAAGGAATGCTCAAAGTTCACTGCATTTAATTATACATGTTGGGGTTGGTTTGGTTTTTTTTTTCATATATTGGTCTGCTGCCATAGCTATAAAACTATTTTAATCCAGTTGAATTTTGTGATTTTATCAAGTTTATATACATGATAGGGCTTTCATTATAGTCCTAAAGGGTTTTAAGTGTCTGAAGGCTAGCAGGTAGCATTTCTTTTCCACATAAGGGAGGACTTGTTTCCACTAAAAATAAGCAAAACTATGAAGTGGTGGTAATAAGAAGAAGAGGAGGGTTTGAAGTAAGGTTTATACTGTAGTAAACTGAGTGATAGGTATTGTCTTGTACTGCATTAATAGTAGTGTCAATGATAGAAATAGTAATGTAACATCAGGTAGTTATTTTGCAGCACATAACTTTATAATTATGTAGGAAGCTAAGAAACCAGAGGGAGAGATGCTTATTAAAATTATAACATCAAACAAGCTAAACAGAACCATTCCTAGAGAGTGATGAGGCAAGACTGAAGTTTTCTTACATGTTAAGTTTAAATACCTACCTGGAGAAATAAAAATGTGCTTGGGCTTCTAATTGCTTGCTTAGATGGAGCTCTGTGAAGGCTGTGTTCGTAAATCTTTCCTATGCAAATGTTGTCTGCCTCCCTGACTGCAAGCATTTTTACAACAATTATTTACAGGTTTGTCTTATTACTTTCCTCTCATAAACCAGTCTATTTTAAATAATAATCTGTGTCAGAAATGATAATTAAAAAATATCCTTATCTTCTGTTGCAGTATGTCTGTTGTTAGGACTTTTATAATAGTTATGAACCCTTTATAAATTCAGCCAACCTATAAAAATGGATTGAAAAGGAAAATAAACATAATAATACCTTCAAAACACCCCAAATGGTGTATTACAATATGTATTGGTAAACAAATTACTTCCTAGGTGTTTTTTGAACAAAAAATTTCTTTAACCTGTTAATTTTTTTAAAATCCTTTGTTCATTCAGCAGGCTTTTTAGTGACATATTGCTAATGCAGCAGATACCGTCAAGTAATTGGCATGCTATGTCAAGATATGCACGTGTTCTTTTACATTGCTTGTGGCATGTTCTCTTTTTGTTAATCATTTTATACCACTCAGAGTGGTTTAGAAATTAAGACACAATGAAAGGGTTAAGGTCTAAATTCTGTTCCAATTTGCTGCAGCCCTTTGGAGCTGGGCACCACTAGGGTTAGATGGAGCATAAGTCACAACAGAGTTTAATCTCAGAATAAGATGCAGTTATCCAATGTAAGTTAGACTTTATTTCCTTGGGGAAGTAAAAAAGAAAACATTTTGCATAAGATCTCTCCAGTTTAAAGAAGACTGACAATATGATGTATGGTCTCCCTTTATGATTTAGCACTGTTACAGCATTTGACTTGTTACTGTCTTTATGTGTAGTATTAAGAAGAGTTTAGGCCTAAAGTAGTGTCAGTGCATGACTTTCAGGTCTGGCAACTCATATTTGTGAGTATTGATCTGTTGCTTAAGAAGTTCTGCACCAAAAGTTGTCTTCTTGCTTCTCAAATACTACATTTCCCAGTGTGAATTAATTTATGCCAGTTTGATTAATGATGTTATTGGTCTGATTGGGAGTTGAAGTAGAGCAAGCTTACTTCGACCACAGGTAAACCCACGTTGGTACCTGAATAGGAGAAAGTACTGATTTGACTCCCTGATGTATTTTGAGTGAGAACTTTGCCCAGCAGTGCTCCAGTTCTAAGTATCTAAGTATCCAGTTCTTTGATGCTGTGGCAGTGTAGATTAACTTCTGTGTGTATAGGTTTAAAAGTTATATTGAAATGGTGAAAGCTTAATTCCTCTTAGGCTCTGGTGGTAAAATTGAAGGGCATTTATGGTATGAAATGAAAAAAACACTCACAAGCAGCTAGAGAAGGAAAACCAGAAAGGCATTGTGAGCTCTTTTATTCCTCTCTGGTTTAAGTACTTCAAAAACAAATTTTCAAAACTGCCCAAATGTAATTTAGGAGTGTAAGTTCATTGACAGTGGTAGTTGCTAGTTTTCATTAACAATACCAGGAGGACAGCAGTGATTTCATGTAAGTATATATATAGCTTGTGGCATCAAAACAGTGGCATGTAAATACCCATTTGAATGCCAACATAACTGTGTACAGCAATTTACAAACAGACCTGTCTTGTTTGGTAAATTATCTTCACACAGACTGGTAGAACACTTGCCTCCCCCTCCTCCTTTAAGTAAGCTATTGTGAAATACTCATTTGCATTTCATAAAAGATAGCTGCTTTTTGGACATTTCTGTGCTATTTGTTGGTATAGGTTAGTTCTGTTTATTATTATATTACCTATTGCAATATAAAACCTGTGTCTGTAATGGAATGCTAATTTTACTGGGTTTTAGGAGCCTGTTTTATTCACTGGAACTATGAGGAAAAACTTAGATCCTTTCAACGAATACACCGATGAAGAGCTGTGGAGTGCCTTGGAAGAGGTGACTTACTAAACTTAGTAATACACATCTGATTTTACAAGCCAGATAACACTACAGTGCTTGTGTGCATTTGGTTTTAGATGTTTTCGTCAAGTTTGATAAGGGCATAGCTGTTGATGGGGAAAGGTAGACCGTTGTGTGTGCGTTTGCATGTGTGTGTAGACGTGTATTGTTATGTAAGCCTTTTATGAAAAAATTATCCTTTGGGATGATGCTTTGGTTATGTTTTGATTCATATCTTACCTTTAATGAACATTAATAGATTCTTAACAATGTGCTTTAATATTTCTAGAGTTCTAATAGCTGACACACTCTGTAATGCAAGTTGGCACTTACTCATTTTGTGTCAGAATATAAAAGGTAAACCCTGCATACTTATTGTTGTGTCATCAGGCACACAATAGCTGATTTAAAAGAGAGTTACTCATCCTACAGTATGTTGACATGTCAACAGGTGCAACTGAAAGAGGCTGTGGAAGATCTACCTAATAAAATGGAGACACAGCTGGCAGAATCTGGGTCTAATTTTAGTGTTGGTCAGAGACAGCTGGTGTGTCTTGCCAGAGCGGTTCTAAAAAAAAACCGGATCCTTATCATCGATGAAGCAACAGCAAATGTGGACCCAAGGTAAAAACAAAATCTGTCATGTTAAGATGGGCTGGTTTTCTTCTTCTAATATGATCATCTGTACTGTAGAGGTGAACTTAATGTGTCGTATTTCTTGTAGTTTGTATTGCTATTTTCTGTTTCTAATGATGGCATCATAAATTGTGTATTCAAAGTAGGGCGGTTGAGCTTTGGCTACAGAGCAGATAATATAAACTAAGCCTTCAAAATATGCCTAATTTCAGTGCATTTCATAGAGCATGGAAATTAATATTCAAAGTTTGTTTGTCCTGCAGCTACAGGTGGGAAGACAAGAACCTCCTTGGAAATGCACATCAGTAAGATCAGAATAGCCATGAAACAAGTCGAGTTCTGTTGGTTTCTCAAAGAAATGCCTGTTGGAAATGAAGATGTAAAAAATAATTAATTAATTAATTAATTACTCTCACCACCACCACCCCCCCACCCCCCCCCCCAAAAAAAAAACAACCCAAAAAAAACCACCAAAAAATAGGTGAAAAATGGCTGTAAGCAAAACTGGATACTTCTGGTTATGAGATGCTATGAGATGCTGTGCCTTCAGATGGCTCATATGCCAGTTTAATAAGTTACAGATGAAACAGGGGTGAGGGGGGAAAGGTAAGCTGTCCTAAACACCAGAGGAATTGCAAAACAGATTTGGAGATGTTTAAAGCTACAGGAGGGACTCATTCATAATTCATTATTTTGTCTTGTATAATGCAGGCAGGGAGAACTTTCCTGAATTCATTCCTGTTTGAACTACAGTTGTACTTCTAGAAGAACATCCAACCTCAATAGAAAAAAAAAAATCAATGACAACCCTTGTTAAACTGTTCCAATAGCTAAGTACCCCCACTGTTAATTTTTGAAACATTTGAAATGCTGGTGGAAATATTTTAGAAACAATGCTGCAAACGTACTGCATCAATTAGTTTGAGCTGAATATATAGTTCCAACAAACTATGGCTTGAGGGAGAACTCAAGAGGACAATAACACAGCAAGTCCCTCAAACAGATGCATTAAGGATTTTGTATGTCATCTGGGCGTGACTCATTTTTATAACATCTTCTTGGGGGAGAAGTGGTGCCACTAGGGTAGCTTTGCAGTTCAGCTGACAGTGTATTTCTAAAACCTTTAGAGAAGTGCATTCCCTTCCCAGAGGTTCTATTTTTCTTTTTTTTTTTTCTTATTAGTTTATTTTTGACTGAGCTCTGATAGATAAATTGTGATTAATCATAGCTCTGGAAATTTAATACCATCTTACTCATCCTCCCTATCTCACATGTGTGTGTTCTCAACTTGCACTATCCATTTAATTGATCTTGATTAATATGTGCTGCAATATATATTATAATAAGGTAAATGTTTGTTTGTATCAACTCTAGGCATAACAATACAAATAATAACTTGGAACTTCTTTGAATTCAGTTTGCATTACAGTCATTATTACCTTTTCCTTAATGTGTTGCTATAACTAGAGCCAAGTATTTTTCAGCTGTGCAATCTGATAGGACGCTTGTCAGGAAATGCTGATGTGGGTTGCTTAACTGAGCAGTCAGGGAGGCATTTTTGGCATGTAAGGGAAACCTTCTTCTCTTCTGATGCACAACCCCCATTCCTGGCACCCTTGTCTCTAGCCTGGCGGCAAGCGCACATCGCATCAAGCACCTGGGATAGGAAACCATGGGGAGCAGCCGCTGGCTCTGGAGATATTATTTCTTGTTTTGTTGTTTTTCTGGCTCTTGATCTCTTTGCCTCAAGTGCTGCTGCAACTGTGTCCCTTCTCCAGTTCAGCCTAGAAGCACATGTGAGAAAGGCAAGGTTTGGGGTGGGAGAAGGAGAAGGAAGGGTGAGGTGACATGAGGCAGTAGATATTATAGCAGGGTGCAAATTCGTTCTTCTCCTTCCTTCTTAACATCTTCCAGCTCCCATATGTACCCTTATTTTTCCTCTTGCTCTTCGTAGCTACCAGTAGTTATGCAGCAGGGGTGTCAGTGCTGTCGTGAGGGAAAGGAGGAGCTTGCCATAAAGAAGGTTGCCCTAATTCAGACTACTTGCATGTTTTATGTGATGACTGAGTGACATTTAATTTGATCTTACCTTCTTGGTCCTGAAGCTGTCATTCTCACTCCAAAGAGTGGAGTCATTTGAAAGCAGTTGAACCATTCTGGAAAGCTGTATGAAATATGGAGCAGAAGAGCTGAAAATCTTTCTGTGGTTGCTTTAGTGATATATTGAAACAAAATCCTTAGTAACTGAGACTTTTTTCAACTACTCAGTAAGTTGAACTTACAAAGCTTTCTGCAAACTAGTTACAATATGATGCATTAGCTCATATTTTTACCACTTATAGAAGACAAAACTTATTGGGAGCACTCCACTGCCACCTTTTTACATTGGTTGTTTATTAAGTCTGGTAAAAACAGCCACTGCACATAGTTCAGTTCATTAATCACCTTAAATCAGCTTAACCTTGTCAGGTTTAACCTTTTATTACATCTTACTGCTGTCTGTATTTGTTTCCCTTGTGGAGAAATTATCTAAAGCCACTCAGGAATTGTGTAGTGTGAGATATACTTCTAGGACTATCCCAAGAGGACATTAGACTGAAGATAATGGCTTATCCAATGTTCCTTTCAGCAGCTTGGTTGCCTTTTATTCAGGTTGTATTTATTCTTGCTGTTTAGATAGTTTTCTTTTTACACAGTCAGTGAGTTCAGGTTATACCAGATCTGGGGTTGCTGTGAAACTTGGTGTTAGGATCCTCAACCCGTGATGCCAGTGGGACAGCCATACCACCATTTTGTGTTTTCTTATTATACTGCTCCTTGTGATGGGGAGTACTGTGGTTCCCATTTTCATATAATCAGATTAGGGTTGAGCTGTTGTCATCCAGCAGTCTGGTTTTGGTATTCAAGTTACATCTTTGGTTTCTAATGTACCTGAAAGATGATGGGGTTTGATCCACTGAGGTGGCTGATGGAATCACTTGGCACTTGAGAAGCTACTTGCTCAGTGTGGTAGGGTCCACAAAGGGTCCATTTATATCCTGAAAAAAGGCAGCAATGCTGCTTCCTTTGGCACTTTTCTAGAGGGTAGACTGCTCTAGATAGTCTTTGCACTCTGTCAGCATGTAATTCTGTACACAGATCCTAGATTTTCTTGCCTTTCCTACCTTCTTCCCAAGATTCTCCTAGAGGTTACTGGTGGTGCTTCTGCCTGCCACCCCAAAAAAAACTGTACTACAAGATCTACCATGAACTGTAGAGAGGATCTGATTGAGTTCCTGTCAGTGGACATGTCTGCATGAGATTTCATACTGTGGTATTTAAAGATGGAGCTATTAGATATGTTTCTGATTACTTTGTAGTCTCATTTTTGCAACATTTGTCACACCCACAATATGGCCAGCAGTTTCTTATTACAGAAAAGCTTATATTCAAGAAATACCTGTTTAAGATAATAGTTTGATAGTATCTATCTGAGAATGAGGAATAGGTTTTATTGTAGATGTAGGAAGAGGTGGTGCTCTAAGGAATGCATGTAATAAAGGGAGATACAATAAATGAATGCAGAGGACAGGGATGTTGAAGGGTGAGGCATTCTTCTCAGATAACAATAGGAATAACCTGAGAGTTACAAATCATTTTGAGCCCTTTAAAAAGTTGTTTCCAAAATCCTTGAGCGAGCTGTGATTCTCTGTGCTCCGTAGTAGCTCTGCATGAAAGCTCACCTTGAGCTAGACTATAAGGAAAGAAAAAGGCTTTTTTTACATACTTCTAAGGAGTATTGAGGCTTTTGTTTCTGTTTTGCCATTCTAACCATTACAGAGAACACATCCTGCCATCTATGTAAGCCTCTCCCCTGCTGAGTGTTCTCATGTGCGGCCATGATTTTTCCCTTTAGGAAGGGAGAGCAGTCACGTCATTGAGGCATTGCTGAGAAGATAGCAAAAACAGATACATGCATTAACACTGAAAGCTGTGATATTGGTGTGATGTGGGGCACTAATGATGAACGACTTCTTTTCTCAAGAAAACTGTTAACACACAAGGATAAAGAGCATGGCTCTGTCCTTATTTTTCCTGTCTCTTCCCTTGACTGCATACTAGCCTTGGTTCAAAAAGAGATGTTGAGGAACACCTGTTTCCCACCATGTGCTTCATCTGCTTTTAGGAAGCAGAAGGACTAAGTCTTCTCAGACTGTGACCCAGAACCTGGTTTGCTTAAGCTCATGACAGAGTGTAAATGTTTCTGGCCCCAGATGAAGATGACAGTCAGCATGTGTGGGAACTGTTACTTAACTGTTTATGTCTTCCTTCTCTATGATCATTCTGTCATCAGCAGGCATCTGTCTATTCCTTGTCATGCTGATTGCTTAAGCTGTTTGTAACAGAACTTATGTTCAGTCAGTCCTTCAGTGCCTGAGCTTGTGCTTTCTTCTGTGGAAACTTAGAGGTTAATCCATTCTTCTAAGTCATCCTGTTCTTCTGAAGCTGCTTTGTCTGCCTTTTATTGCTAGTGCCTCCTGACATGGTGGCATCAGAACAATTCTTTTTGCTTAATTTATGAAGTGATACTAAATACTTATCATGTGCAGACAGATTCAATGTAGAAAATGTTGTACTTCTGTCTAAAAAATAATTTGTCAGAGGAAGACATGTATTGCATGGAACTTTATTGTATTTTATTTGATTTTTCTAGTGACTTTTAACAATTTGAAGAAATGAGGCTTTGTAAGCAACTGGTTGAAGCCAACATGGCTGCCTAAATATACTGGTTTATCCAGACATCTTCTTTGTCTTGTTTTAACCCTTTCTACAGCATTTATATATATTCTCCAGTCATTATATATAAAAGTAACATTTAATGTTTTAATAAAAATCCTGGAAATCAGAACCTCTAAAACTTCTAGGCTGGAGCTTCCTAACTCCAGCTGCAGCTAACTAACCCCAGTATACTTTTCAGTTCTTTGCGTCTCCCTTCTATCTCGCATGCAAATTTTAATTCCTGTACCTTCTTCCCCATTGTCATCACTCGTTGTTTTGGGGTTTTTTTTTGAAGGCTAATGGGCAATATGCGAGTATTCACATGGCCTGGCTTTGTGCCAGAGTTGGAAACCAAGGCTTCCTATGCAATGTGAGCTGCCTCTAGAGGGCATTCATCACCTGATGGCTGCCTAATTCAAGGGCTCCTTCCAGCCATGCCTTTCCCCTTTCATTGACTAAAGAGAGGACTATATAGATTTCCACATGCAAGCCTGACTAGTATGCTCTATGTTAAGCGGTGTCAGTGCTTCTCTTGTACAGTTTGTTACTTGAATACTCTCCAGTTTTCTGACTATTGCACCTCTTTTACCATAATGCTTATTTATACAGCTAAAGAATTTTTGTGTTTTATGTATCTTTTAGTATAATTTTATTTCTTTTTCACTGTTCTTGGCTTTGTGACATTTATCACGTTAATAACCCTATGCTTCAGTGTCTGTGCTCTATCTTAGTTTTCATTCTTTACAAATCTTATGTTTTCTCCTGATATTCTTTTCTTATGTGGTTGATTAATGTAGTAGAACGAGGCTCTTAACTTAAAAGCTCTTATTCCTTTCCTTGGATTGTGTGTTCCAGTTAACACTTTTGATTAATAGAGCATGCCTGATTTTCTTTTTTCTGTATTCAGGTTCTTGAGCTACTCCAGTCCTGCTTTAGTTTACCAGCCACCTTCTCTACATAGCCATCTTTTGCAGTTGAGATCAAGAACTTTGATTATAGTCTGTCTTGTGTTCATTCTTCAGTTGATCTATTGCAATGAAGGATATTTACTTTCACCTACTTTTCTTCACTGCTTAAGCAAACTAATGCTTGAAAGAAAGTGGCAATTACTTTTTTTTTCCGTGTAAAAATCCCTAGGAATATCTGATGGCAGAATTTTTCTCTTTCTGTAACCAAAGCCTGGGAAATTAGTCTCCTGAAATGAAACCTATTGGTCTACTTGCAAGAAGAAACTCTTTCGTCCTCAGGTATTTAGAGGATACATTTTTAGAGTATGTTTCATGATATGCCCCCAAGTCATCTAACGTAATGAGAGGAAGAAGTACTATAACGACCTCATAAGCGTATTTCCTGCTATACAGTCATGTTTGATGAAGTCGTAAAATCTGCCTGCCAGTCAGTTATCTATGCAAACATCTTATTTTTGTCTGCATTGCTCTTGCTGTGTTTCAGAACAGATGAGTTCATTCAGAAGACGATCCGTGAAAAGTTTGCTCACTGCACAGTGCTGACCATTGCACACCGCTTGAACACCATTATTGACAGTGACAGGATTATGGTAAGAGAGTTAACTAGTTAATTTATTTTTTTTTTCGTTTTCTTTTCCCTGAAGAAGAATGTTATTGACTCTTTCTTCTTAACTTATATCCAAAAGTGGTCAGAAGTTGAAGTTGTTTTTCAGGCTTATCCTAGTTAACCTAGTTACCCTAGTTACTGTGATTTGCAACTCATAAAACCATAGAAGTAATGACCTGAAAAGACTTCTTACATTGTCTGGCCCTGTGGTTTCCTACCTGCGAGGCATGAACCCATTGCAGGTGAGGCGCAGCAGCAGACCTGAGCAAATAAACTTTGCCAGCACAGGAGACTGTGAAGACACACCCAAGAGGCTCTGGACAGAGTCAGCTGGATTTGGTCAGGTCTATTAATTCAGTCTCGGTGGGCTGAGGGAGGCAGTGACAATAGTTAGTGGTGTGGGATGTGTGAGGAGGAAGTGGTATAGGTTCTGGGGTAGGAGACATGGAGGTAAGGAGGCAGCAGCTGCCTTGGGGCAAGGGTGGTGGTGGGAGAAGTGGAACTAGACTGGTGAGGTAATGAACACTGCCAGCTTTCTATAGCAAGGTTCAAACAGAAAAGATGAAGTATCACCAATTCAACAGTCTCTGCCACCTTTGTTTCCAACACAGCAGCAATAGTCTTTGCCAGTATGAAGTGCCTTCTGTACTATCTTGTCTGCTCCACAGTGTGTTGCACACACATAGAAATTAAGAAGTACCTGCAGATTATTTTCATAAAGGCAGTGGTCTTCCCTAGGCTCTCAGGAGATCAGGCTGGTCTGTGTCCTTGAAATGATGTGCAGCCTGCAGGTTTGCAATTTTCTGCAGTAGGAACAGGAGCTCTTTGCAAGCATTTTCTTCACAGCCAGTTAATGAAGTAGCTGAGAGTGGGCAAACCGTGTTCATGAGTGGAACTCAAATTTAACTGGGCTTCAATCAGAAATTACCCTTCACCTCCCGGTGGTAACTTTAAAAAATTACTTTCTTCAGCTTTGTGAAAATGAAGCATATTAATTCTTTCATGTTTTTTAGTGGATACTCAAAACATTTTAAAATTTGTGATTGAGTTACAGTGGTTGTCTGAAATACACAAAATGAAACAATTTGGTCTACTGAGGTGGGTGGTGTTCTGAGCAGTAGAATAGATTGTGAACTGAGTGATTATAGTTTACTTACAAAGAAAGAAACCAGCAGAACTGCCATAAGTAGTCATATAATTGCAAGCATTTAACATATAATAAATAAATATTTTCTTCACTGGTGAATACCTCCCCACAGGTCTAATGGATATGTTGGTGTTTTCTACAACTGAAGTGAACAAAAGATTTGTGAGGAAACAACTGTGACCTAATTAATAGCTGTGTGTGCTTGTTAGCTGTCCAAAGGGATTTCTGTGGGTTTTGGTTCATTAACTACCATTAACATGTTATGCACAGAATGCTCTTTCCATGAAGATGTTTTCATGGGTTTACCTTTAATACACAGTTGTAATGAAAACGAAATGTTTTGTTTACTTTTTTGCCAAAAAACATTGGAAAAAAGCATGGAAATCACCCTTCTCCCCAAATTGCTCAGTGTTATTACCAACTATGTAGCTACTCTACTGCATTTTTAGAGTCTGTACATTATTCTTAAGCTTATGTGGTTTCAGTTTAGCCACTGTTCAGATTTTGTTTCCTAAAAACGCATTTATGTTCATACATTGTCTGATAGTCTTTTTTGAATGCGTTTGACCTCTTCAGAGCATTAAAGAACAGCTTTGCAAGATGATGTGCCTTTTAGTCCACAGTTACTCGTAACTCTTAAATATTTTTCACCTTTTCACATTGCTCCGCTTTGATCTTACAGATTTCTGTAATTTTAGAGGGGAAAAAGAAGAGTGATAAGGGAGAAAGGGGTGAAAGGAGCTAGTGATACTGTTTCTGGACAAATCAGAAATATGATCACATATTTAGAATGATCAGAGTTATGGCACATGTGCTTTTGTTACACTTTTAATTGCTTCAGTTTAGTCAGGCATGTAACACCTAGTGGGAATATAGCAGAATTTTAGAAGAGTAAGAAAAGTACATGTTAAAAAACTCAAGGAAAAATAACAGAAGATTTAACTATTATGAGTGCCTTAACAATAAAAAGAGCATTCATAGAAAAATTAATTATTTACTTCAGTATCACAAAAGTTGAGAAGACTCAGCTGAAGAAAGCTTTCAGTGTATTTTAAAATTTGGTTAGTCAATAATGTGTTTTAGTAATTCACAAATCCAAATTGATGCAGATTCTTTTTTAAGAGTAGAAATGCACAAACCAAAATGCATTGTTCTTCCATTACTTGGTATTATTAAAAACCCTGGGTTTGTTTCTTCTTCAGCTGAGACCTCTAGTGCAATAATGCCTTCATTATATATTATTATTCATTATAAGCCATCCCAAATCTCAGTTGTTTGCTATCATTGTAAATTTGTTAGGAAGCTAGAGAAGAAGATGGAACCTGGCAGTTGGAATATTAACAATTGTCTTTTGAAAAATAATGAGTAAAGTTATTTTTCAGAGAATTTTGAACAAACTTGTTCAACTCTCTTAACACAGTCTCTGAAGTTCAAGCCCATTACCGAATAAGCATATATAACTTGAACATAAACTAGGGTTTCCCTCCCTTCCCATAAAATCAGTTTGAAAGGAACCTCAGGAGGTCTCTAGTGTAACCTCCTGCTCAAAACAAGGTCAGCACTAATTTCAGATCAGGTTGCTTGGGGCTTTTTCCATCTGGGTCTTGAAGACAGTGAAAGTTCGGGATTCCACAGTCTCTCTGGGCAGTCTGCCCCAATGTTTATTTATCTGCCATGAAATCTGGTTTTTTTCCTTATATCCAGTTGAAGCCTCCCTTCATTTTAGGGCAGTTGTTTCTCATTTTCCACTGTGTATCTCACTAAAGACCCTGCTCCTGTCCTGTAAGTAACTTCCTTGTAGGTAGGGGAAGATAGTCCCCTGAAGTCATCTGTTCTCCAGGGTGAACAAGCACTGCTCCATCAGCCTCTCCCTGTAGGTCAAGTGCTCCAGTCCACTGTCCATGCTGGTGACATTATTACAAACTTGCTCCAATTTACCCTCATCTTTCTTGTATTGACGGATCAAAACTGGTCACCATATTCCAGATCTGATCTGTTGAACGCTGAATAAAGCTATTCCCTTGCTCTGCCCTCTTGTTAATACTCCTGGCACACTGCTTGACTCCCGTTAACTTACTAAACACCGGGATCCCACTACCTTTTCAGCACAGCTGATGCCCAGGCAATTACTCCCCAACTGGTATTGGTGCAGGGGGTCAGTCAATTCCAGTTTCAGAACTTTGCATCTGTGTGTCATTGTTGAGAGTCATGAAGTTCATGCTGACCTATTCTTTTAGCCTGTCTAGGTCAAAATAGCTTTGAATGTCATGGGATCATAGGATAGAGTTGGAAAGGACCTTAAGATCATCTAGTTCCAGCCCCCTTGCTATAGGCAGAGGCACCTCACACTAGACCATGTGACATGTCAACCCTGTCTTAAGCGTATTGACTGTAATCTCAGGTTTGGCATTGTCCACAAGCTTTTGATTTAATTCATTTTAATTGCTGGTCAAAGCAGAATTTTCCAAAAAGAAATTAGTCACATTTATGGTTAATCCAAACCTTAAAAAAAAAAAAAACAACAACAACAAAACAACCAGAAAATAATTTGGGAAAGTCATGAGAAAATGTCAAGTTAGATGAGTATGGAAATAGGAACTGAACGTGAACTGTTGCATGTCTGCTCACACCCATCATAATAACCGGTTCTATTTTAGAAGAGAAGAAAAGCCTACTGGAATAGGAAAAAAAGGAAGAACAGAATACATTTGATACAACTGTAGACAAATCTGGCCTCAGGAGTTGTTTTAATTCTCGTTTGTTCCATTCCCAAAACCATACCTATGGTTTCATAATCCAGGTCACGCCTTAAGAGTATTTCCATTATATCTGTCTTGGTGATAAACACATTTTATCAGAACTTCAAACGCTTAAAATCATTGAGGGAAGAGCTGTATTGTGTAACGTGATACTCTCTAACCCAATCACCTCAATGAGTAATATTACATTGCTCTTGCATAGGACCTTTCATCTGGAAATTGTAACGCTCTTTATAAACATTAATTAATTAAACTTCAAACACCTGGGTGAGATAGGGAAGTATCCATACAATCTTTGGAACCAAAATTGGAAAGACTTGTTAAGTCAGACCATCAAATAATACTACCATAAAATTATAATCCAGCGGTTTTCAAACTCCTTCCCCCTCTCCCCTGTGCCTTCCCTCACTGCTGCTCCAGTGTCTCATAGGACATCTTCTCATTCCTTTTTCATTAGTTTGAGAACTCCGGTTGTAACTCCTCCCATAAGGTGCTAGCAGTACCTGGTTTTAGCTTTTTGGCACAAGCAGCCTCACTGTTCCTTAGCAGAAGGGGAGGATGGTATAAATGAATATGCCTCTTTTGTGATGGCAAATCCTGGCAGAACCTCATCTCAGGCTTGCTCCACTGGCCCCTCATTCCACGTAGTTTCCCTACCGCCACAACAGCTGCTTTCCTATCCTGTCCTCACCTTAGAGGTCAGGGGCCTTTTACATAAATTGCATCTGCGGCCAGGAAGGCACCGCTCCCAAGACTTCCAGTGGTATCTCGTAAAATCCCAGTCACCCACTCCTCCCCCTCCTATCTGCTTCCTTCTCCAGCTTGAGAAATACTTCTTAGAAACCATGTTTTTACAGAGGGGAAAACTGAAGCATACAGAAGTTGAGGCTCATCCAGGGACATAGTGAATCAGTATCAAATTAAGTATATGCATCTGGCAAGAGCCTGATGGCAGTTGTGTGCTGTATATGCTATGCCATGGTATTTCTGTAGGAAAGCCACAGAGCAGTCAAAACTTGCGTGTTTTCCAATGACAAGGATGTTTCTCCACAGAGACTTTTCATATCAATGCAATAC